GCTACCAACTATCTTACCTGCTGGCCAGAAGCTAAAGCTGTACCAGACGCTGGCGCAGAAACACTTGCTAGATTCATTTTTTGAAGAAATTTTATGCCACCATAGAGTATCTAAAATAATTCTTTCGGACAATGCAAAGAATTTTATTAGTGAAGTTGTTAGAATATTGTGTGAAAAGTTATTGATTAAACACATATTCTCTTCACCTTATCATCCCCAGACTAACAGAATGGTTGAATGATTAAATCGAACACTTTGCAACTCTCTCGCAAAAGTAAAGGAAACTGATGAAGACTAGGATATACATATATCTGCTGTATTATTTGCATACAGGACCAAACGACATGCAACTACGGGATATACTCCTTTTTAATTGGTATATGAACGTCAAGCCATCCTACCTATCGAAGCTGTTCTTCCGATAGAACCCAATGTATCAGATGAAGAAATGGCATTAGAAGATAGTATATTACAAAGAGCCTTCGAACTAATAGATGAATTACCTTATCAACATGAAGAAGCTCGAAAAAATACTAAGAAATCCCAAAAGAAACAGAAAGTCCGATTTGACTCAAAAATACGATCAGAAGAATTTGAAATAGGTGATAAAGTATGGGTACAACGAAAAAACATTGAAGCCTCTTGCTCTGCAAAATTCAAAGATAAATGAATAGGACCCTTTATCATTAACAATAAATTAAACAATGGTGCTTATAAATTCTGCACACTGCAAGGTCAGATGCTAAAGAAGTACTACAACAGTGACCGACTCGCTAAATATTATGAAAAACCGAATTGGCAACCCACTATTGTTATAGAAAATTAGAATTTTCAGAGAAAATTCTTAAAGGAGACAGAAAACACAGGAAATTTTTAATTTTATTTTGAATATATAGAATATTTAATTTTATTAAAAAGAAAAATAGATACAGAATTACAAAGTATTGCTCAAGGCTATATCCTTTAAACTGACAAAATGCCTTTAAGCATTCTATTTTACGGTTTAATGCTATCTTCTGACTCATCAAGTCATAAGCTCACTCCCTCTGTACAAGATATAGAAACCTTGAGATGTCTCAGTTAAGGACACCTAATTATGCTGTCAAAGTTCAATACTCCACATAACACCTACAAAAATTTTATTTTTTTTATTATTATTTTATTTATTTATTATTTTAGTATTATTATTTAGTTACCTTTGTTTTTTAGTAAAACCCACAGCTTCAAAAGAATATGGGTATACCACTGCAATCATGCACGGAACCCTTCTCCTTCTTCCTGTTATCGGAAATAACGATAACTTCGTTATTATTATTAGTATTATTTTTATTATTATTATTATTATTGTTATTGTTGTTGTTGTTTCTGTTGATACTGCGAAGCAGACTACGCTTAGCATGGGATGTAGTATAGTGTTTAACTATGTTAGAAAAGAAAAGAAGAAAAGACAAGAAGATTTAAAACTGGAGATTACGACATCTACTTCTTAATTTGAGTTGACCATGATCGACAAAATGTGCTCAAATTCGATGATTTGATTGGATAGAAATGACAAAATAATTGATTTTCAAAAGGAGTACAAATTTGAAATTTAGTGTAATTACACTTGTAGTTTAGTGGTTAAGAATGATCATAGTCATTGTTGGATTGTGAGTTCGAGACCTGCGGTAGTCTGGTGTATCCGGTACACTGCGGTTCCAGTACTGACTACTAGAGGACGTTCCGTAAACATTTCACTTGGCCAATTTCTATTGTATTTTACACAATTTTTATTTTTGTTCATTGTTATTTATATTGTTACTTTATTAATTTATATTGTGTAAATCCATTTAAAAGTAGTATTTATTTTATTTTAGTAGTACCCTTATTTATTTTCATTCTATTGCCAATTACAGAATAGTAATCTTTATAGTTGCTAATAGTATTTTAAATATATATATAGAAGTTAAATTTTACTTTGTTTAAAATTTTACAAAGTTACAGAAACAGAAATGAAAAATCTACAACCTCAAACTTTAGCCACTCTTGCCGAATTATTACCTATTGGAACCAAGATCCCTATACTCAAAACAATACTCTTGTGCTCACCGGAAATCAAATTGCCATAGCAACCGAAACCAATCTTCTTATATCGTTCATACTTGAAGGAAGTCAAGTACCAACTCCGAATAATCCACTAGATGAATACCTCCTAAAACCAGATTTAGATGACCTTATCTACAATGAACCAGAAGTATTAATCCAAGAAACCCCAGTTGAAAAGATTGTAAAAGACTTAACAAACCAGAACATGAACTCTTCTATCAAAGCTAAACCAATACTAGATTCTACTTGGGAAAACCAGATTACTGAAATTGCTTCCCAACTAAGCCAACCTCCAAAAGGAAGTCAAAAAGAGAAACAGATTAGAACTTTAGAAATTTGTTATTATTTGGGAAAACTGTGAAGTGATTTTGCTAATGATTACAATGTTCTTAAAGAAATTAAAGATAAAATTAGAGCCCCATTAGGATCTTGCCGAACTGGTAATGTTTGGAGATATGCTAAATATACATATCAAGTCTTTCAACATTGGAATCTGTTACAACTTTACCATACTCAAAACCTCTCTATGAGTAGTCTTAATTGATTAGACAATAAAAGTTTTACAGAATTACTAACTCATAGAGTTCATTCTTAAAGGTGACAGAAATGTTATAAAACGCCTAAGAACATATTAAAGATTATGTTTCCAAAAGATCTGGAAAATCATAATGTTTGTAACAAGCTACAATACATGTCAAACGAACTATCGGATAGCCGGCAATTGAGAAACAAAGATATATAATAGACGAAATATACTTTTTGTACCTTTCATACCTTTTATACCTTTTGTACCTTTTGTACCTTTTATATCTTTTGTACCTTTCATACCTTTTGTACCTTTCATACCTTTTGTACCTTTCATATCTTTTCTGCTTTTGTATTGTTGTTATTATATAATTTATATTAGTTGTAAAAGCTATATAAACCCTAGCTTTTACCCTCTCTTGCACTCTAGGATTTGTTTCCTACAATCTTTAAGTTATTAGGATTCTTTAGGCATAGATACCTTAGGATAGCCTTATATCTTGATATTGTACCGTAAATAAATATATCTTAATAAACAAATATCTTACTCTTGTATAAACTATACCAAATTGCCCTAGTGAAGTCATATTCCACTTCCACACTGCTTCATATCTATTCTGACCCTATATAGATCCCTGTCGCCATGTGCTGTGTTGCAAGTACTATATTTTAAAGAAGGCTATAGTTTACTTGTAACAATACTAAACTATAAATGTCTAAGACCTTTGTATACAATTTTCCTAATAATGTTTTAGATGCCAAGTACAGTAGGATATTACACTACATTCAACTCTGAAATCTGGAATCTAAGAGATTCAAAAAGTATTAAAAAAAATAAAAAAAAAATACCCACTATAAATGACGAAGTCTAGAATCTACACCCCAAAAATAACAGCCTAAAACCTGAAAAAAATTACTATAGAAGGCAAAAAAACAATATAATGATAAAAGCCTCAAAAAAGAAAAAAAAACAAATAGCAATAAAAAAATATACGCAATACTAAACACAATAATAGCTGATCTCAGATATGATTGGCTGATCATATAGGGGTCGCAGTGCAACAGATTGTTAATTTATTTTGCCTAATTTTTATAAAATATTATATTATTAGTTTATATTATAATTAAAAGAAATAAAAATATAAATTTTAATTGGTTTATTATTTAAATAAATATTCTCAAATTTGATTGGTTAATATATTAAAAATGCATTTAGAGAGAATATTTTTATATATATAATTTGAAAAATAACCTGCATTTAGAGAATATAGAACATGCACTTATTTTATAAGTCCCGACTTGGAACTAGGCTATTTCATGCATATAGAGAAAACATGCACTTAGAAAACATGTACTTAGAGAGAGTTGACTGTAAACCTACTAATTAAAAATGTCAAGAAGGCTTCTATATAACTCTACCCTAATTAAAGTTGTATATTGGAAATAGTTTTTGGGCCAGAGATATATAAGCTAAATATCTCTGACCAGAAATGCCTAGAATTTCTTTTTCTGTAAAGGAATCCTTCATTAAGAATAGATACTCATATATACCCATCATTACCAAAGTTTGACACATTCTTCTTTGCACATTAATTATTATCATAACAATAATAAGGGCACTGACATTTATTACGTAATATCCATTTACTATAAGGGCTACCCCCTCCTCCCACGTAAGATTTATATTATTGGCCAATTTAGAAATCATATAATTTCTTTGTGTAACGTAAGGTATTGATATAATACCTGCTCAACCCCACCCCTGAAATATTACGTAATAAATGTCAGAACCCTAAGCAAAAGGAATGTATTTATCAAAAAGTTTTAAACTTTGATATCAGATATACAAAAGAACTAAAAAGGCATCTTATTTATAATTCAAACTAGAGAATTTTACCTTTTGATTCTTCGAGATAATGAGATGATGAGATGAAAATATGAGAATTGTTTAACGTGCGATGACCTGAAAAATAGTACAGCTGAAGATAGAAAACGGCTCATGCTTGACTTATTATACACTTAAGTGTAGATCAACTAAAAAACAAATTTTGTTGTACTTATTATGTGGCAGATTGTGTAACCGGGCTACGTATATATATATATATCGTTTTTTTTCTGAATAATAGCCAATCAAATTTATATAATAAAATTCTGAAAAATTTTAACCAATCAAAATTCAAGAATTTGGCCAATCAAAATTAAGCAACTTTAAAACCATCAAAAATTAACGTTTTAAAATAAATTAAATAAATTTTAGAAATAGGACAAATGTAGTCTTTAAGCGTCGCGCACTGTTCAATAAAAATTAGTTATTTAGGCCGTTGATTAATATATATATATTATTTTAATTGGGAAAATAATGAAGTCTGTACTTCCTACAAAGAATATCACTATATTTTAGCATTCATTTGGTGATACTGACTTTCCAAAGACTTTGGATCCTTGACAACATTCATTGCTTGTTCATAGACACTAGTTGCCCGTGGTCGCTCGTTGTTGCCTAGAAGAAATTTAATATAATCTAGCCACAAATCTAATGATAGTGATAATAGTAAATGAATTATATAAATCTATATTTAATGTTGAGGTGTGGCTCGAATGAGATTTCACAGAATTCTTGTGGAAAATAAGATATCCTACTAAATTAGGCAAGTACAGTCAAATCACTTTGAGATATATAATAAATAAAAAACTCGAACAATATCTAAACACAATTTTTTTTTTTTAAATAAAACTGCTTTCACCAGGGTGATAAATTTTGCATCCGAGCTACACCTCAATTTTAACAGCGAAACTTTAATAACTACAAACCACATGGCGTATTGTCACATTGACAGGCTCGATCATATAACCATTCCAAATGAGTTTTCGAGTCTAGTGCCATAGGTGAAGTTATATGCTTTTCTTCTATTTGGATGCATGTCTGATAAAACTTAAGAGTCGGTAGGATCTTACTCAAAAGACTATGAAAAGAGTGAATAAAGAAGGTAAGGGTGAATAAAGAAGGTTATATTAGTCTATGTTAATATTCTTAATGTGAGCACCTTTTATAAACTTGGCGCGTCTTTTTCAGTCCTCCAACTTCATCAGCCCATATTAAATATCGGGCAACAACCCTATTTTTTGTCTCCTTTATATGTTGCTCGTTAGTGATTATCCAACTCAATGATAATGACGCGACTTTAGAAACCGATGCCTAAATAAATACTTCTAGTCAAAGTTGTTAAAAAAAAAAAAAAAGGAACAGTAAAACTTAGAATATTGAACTTATGGTATACCGTGAATATTTTTTCCAATTCATGGTCTTCCAAGCCACCACCTTTCCACTTTGACAAATTCCAGGATAGATAAGAATCCCATAATACCAATGACACTGGATTCTTATTCAATGCCAAATCATATAATTTATTTATCGATTTATCTTGAAGTCCTTCTAAGGACGTCACAATGCCAATTCTTTTTATCCAAAGTTCTGAATTTTGAGAATAAATCTCGGTAGCTTGTTTTGCCACTTCAAGAGCATTTTTGCAATTGGAGTCGTGATTTCCTAAAATCCAATCTATCCATTCGATGTACATTTTTTCAGAAGCGAGATTTAAAGAAGCGGCAGTCTCGTATGATTGAGACAATGATTTCACAAGGTAATAATTCTATTTTAAAGAAAGAGATTCATTTGCTAAGCAATAAACACGTTGCGTCTCTACGAATTTGCGGACTAAAGAGCGAATAGTTTACCAAATTTTTTTCAGTAACTTTATGTAAGTATTTATTGAGAAATTTGGTAAACAGGTACCATATTTCTTTATCAGCCACCTCCTAATATTAAGTAAGGCATTAGAAGATAATTAATCTCCAAAAAAACTTGTAGTAAAACGAAAATCAAACCTCGACGCTCTGCTGAAATTCGTTGACACTATTTTTAATTGCCACTTCGAATTCTGGTTTTTCCACATCTAGCATAGAGAATAAATGTCTTTCTGCAACGTAAGCTCTGGCTTCCGCATTTTTGACAAAATCTTTACGAATACTATTTAGATAATAAAATACGTCAAACTAATGATTGCAAGACAAAGTTTATGCAAAATAAAGCGCGATTTACCTTTCGTAAACGGTATCTTGAATGATTTGTGTCTCAGAGAATTCAAAACAAATATTAACAAATTGTTGACGAAATGCTAAATCGTCCGGTATAGCTTTTTTAAATTTTGATTTATTTGAATAACAGATCATCCACTTATTATTATTATAATTAAAAAAAAAAAAAAAAGAATTACGAAAACATAATTCTTACAATTGATAGCATTCAAATACACAGTTTTAACAATTTCTCCGCACAACACTTTATTGTTATCTTCTTCAGATTTATTCTCGTCTTCAAGCCCTGAAATTAATATCACGTCTCCAGTATTTGATTTTTCCAAAGTTGATGATTTTGAAGATATTCCTAAAATCTTTCTTCGAGATTTAATTTTTTCGATATAAACAAGCTCAAGTTTGAAATATTCATGCCATAGTTGAATGGAACTAGGATTTAAACGCAGGCTTCGTTGTAATAAGGCTAGTAGAAATATTGAGGATAAGCATACATAATATTGATAATATTGGATTAAATAAATTATCAGTATAGTAATTGGTACCTCTGGAAGCAGTTATATTGGCATTAGCCTCAAACTCCCATTTTGCAGCGTGTATCCAGAATAAAGGCTTTGTTGGATGCAATTGCAAAGCACTATTTTAAGATATTTTGAAAATTAGCAATTATAATTATTATGATTATTATTATAAAAAAAAAAAGCCGGTTTACCTCCCAAAGATCTTACCAAGTAGCTTTCCAGCCCCTGTTGATTTAGCAAATTCTATATATTGCAACCATAAAGGAATATCACCTTTAAACTTTATAACAGCGCGATCAAAAATATGATATATCCTTCTGATAATCGCGTAATCTGATATTGATGTTTTTCCTTTTATTGCTAGTTAATTATTGTTAAAAATAGTTAGGATATTAACAAATTCATCATAATAATATCTTTAATCTTTACCCAAACGTTCTTTACGCTTTTTCCTCAATTTTTCTAAATTCATTTCGTACTCTATATACTTTAGAAAATCATCTTTTTGGCAAGGCCGTTTCTTCAATGAGTATTCAAAATTTGTTCGTTTCCTAATTATGGATTTTATTTCTTGCTTTTGTTTATAAAATAATTAAATCGAAAATCATTTTTCAATTTCTTCGCCACCAATGAATGATTCCATGAAATTCAGTTTTAATTTAATGGTACAATTAAATGATTAAAAACCTTTGAAAATAATTCTTTACGTTCATAATCCTCAAGTTCAGGCACCATTTTTTCGAGATAATATTGTACTGTTTCCGCCATTTTAGATTTATAATTGAAAATTTTTTTAGCGATAAAAGATCTTTTGTACAAATCCCATAACGATAATCTTTTTTATCATTCACATGATTTGTCACATGTAATACTAGGAAGATAAAAAGAGTGTCTGCATACTATTGGCTCTGGCACTTCAGATTTTGTTTCTTTACTAATGATAGAAGAGCATCCACCACCTTCTGCTTATCTCGCAGACGATGTTTGGTATGAAGTTTTCCGATTACTTCACGCGGAAGTGGGAGATCATCTTCGGAATTGTTTATTAGTCAACTCTCAATTCTTTAGAAACGCGGTACCTTTTTTTTGGAAGGAGGTTCAAATATTATACTTTGAACAGTTACAAAAATTCGTCAACGTACTTACTTTACAAAACCAAACATTGCCATATGCAAGTTATATAAGAAATTTACATATAATTGCTAGAACGAATAGAATTTCTTCGAGATCTCGTTCCTTCGACTTTGCAAGCTTATTGCTTAAGCTTTCTCGTATCAATGCATCATGGAAATTAGTATCATTTACTTTAGAATTGGACTGGCGCGATTGTCATGAAGGTTTAACTTCGACCGATTATTTCATAAAATTCGGAGATAGTTTGGAACAAATAGAATTACATGGATCATCACCTTTTTTGAGTGATGCTTTGTCTTTTTCCATTGGGCAATATTGCTCAAATCTTAAGAAACTTACGCTTGTTAGCATTGATATATATAATTAATTATTTTAATTTTGCCTACTTAACATATTATTTACACACTAACATGTGGATATTTTGACCCAATATAAGGAATCAAGATATTTTCACGGGTATGGTATTATGAATATTGCTGAAAGATGTGCTCTCACTGAACTAACTCTATGGTGTCGACAAGTGACAAGTACCACAGTTATTGTATGTGCCTTATAATTGAAAGCCTGACATATATGACGCATGTAATAATATATATATTTTTTTAAGTCTATTCTTCAGGGAATGAGCGCGAAGACGTTACAAGCTTTGACAATCAAAAACTGCGATTTGGATGATAGGCCATTATTAAAGACCATTGATTTATTAAAGAACGATCAAATAAATGGTTGCAATATTCCATTTCTTCCGAAATTAAAATCATTTTCTTATGTGCAATCATGCACATTTCATTCTGGCAATAGGTTTACATCTACTGGATTAATCCGACTTTTGGATGTTTTTCCTAACCTTACAGATCTTACTATAATAACCTCTAATTTATCATCAATTGTAAACGATGCGTCGATCAAAAACATAATTCATAAATTAGAAAAATTAGAAGATGTTAGTATACACAATCCTTATAGTGATCAACTACCATTCCATCATTTGGATCATTTTGATTTGACTCTTGAAGGACTAACAACTGCCGTAGCAAAATGTCCTCAAGTAAGACTTAGAGTAGGTGTATTCGACAGTATGGTCTCATAATAAAATGAAAAAATTTTTAATATATAATTGAAATATTAATTTCACAATTCAATAAGTGTTGTTGAGGCTAATCAGGGAAGATGTCACATATGTTTATATATGAGTGTAAGTTTATAATAAAAATTATAATAAAAACATATAAATTTAC